CTGTTGTCAAACTGTGTTTAAAGTAAGAGTTTCATATACATATATTGATTGTTATCAAGAGACAATTTCAACTTGCAAAATTTTGTACATACATATCTTATACATACCTACTTACATATCTTACTGTCCTATGGTTCACTTCGTTGTTGAAAGGAATTAAATATTTAGTTTAATAACAGTATATTTGTAGACAAATATATGTGTGGTTACTTATCAATTTCTATCAACACATATAATTAAATAGAAGTAATCTTTGAATCTGTATATAAAACAGATTTAAGAAATAACAAAACAAAAAGCTAAAACGACAAGTTGGCTAAAGGTGAATGCCTCGGTTCACGCTTAACTCTTACACTAATGAATGGTTTCCTTGAAATTAGGGAAAAGTTGTTGTTGAGAAAAACGTTCTCGTATTTTACGATAACTTTAAATTAGGTACATACATACTAATTATGATTTTGAAAGCGTTTATGTTCATATTTTGACTTAGGTATATCAAAATAAATACGGTACATTTTTGCTACACCCTGGATAACGAGTAGTTTACAAATTGTTGAAATTGACGCAGCTTGATAAACGGTTTGGTTTCAAGCACGTAATGTGTTTCGAATATTTTAAACCTGACTTATCAGGGAATGCTTTCACTGATATGTGTGTGGTTTTAACATTAACAAAAGTTTCAAGCGTTCGTATAAGTTTAAATGATAATAATATTAATAATCCTTAATGTACACCCTTAAATTACAAACTATAAGAATTGCACTAGATAAAAATGTACAATTTTGGGGATACCACTTGTTTTAAGTTATTGTGATATGACTTTAAAATTACTAAATTTTTTATTTTATAAATATTTACTTTTAACATACAAGATAATTAGCGACTACATAGTAAAGTTAATTTGATATTTTGTGATGTAATATGCCTTAAGAAGGGCAAACAATTTAAAGGTCGGGAAGCTTGAGCAAAGAAATTATTCTAATACCAACAGTTGAAGAGAATGCTCATTAGGGAAATTGTTAACACGAAATTAAACTTTGGACTTAATTAGTAAATTATCTCCTGATATATTAAATTATATCATGTATTCCTACATTAATAATATTAGCGGAATCTATGCCTTAATATACACGGCAAACGAGATGGGAATATCTGTCAGTTAGTCTTGTTGGATGAAAATAACAAGACCAACTGACAGACATTCTCATCTCGTAATGAGATCTAAAACTTTCGCGAGTATTCATTTAAATGAAACTAATATTTTCGCATTTCTAGTCTATTATTTAAAAAAAAATTAAATACTCCCGTCGTTTCGGGTACTTTGCAGCAACCGTGATCACGGGCAGACGAAGTGTAAGTGGTATGTAGTTAAAAATAATTAGAAACGCGTAAAAATTTGTTTTATTTCAATGGTAAATATTAGTTTTATTTCAATGAATACCCGCGAAAGTCTTAGATTTCATTAAAACTCCCGTTATCACATTTTCATATGAACTTTATAAAACTACTACAAGATTTTACTACGAGGCTTTCTTCCACTTTTATTATTTTCACCCTCCATATAAAGCGTTATCGATTTGTTATACATACAATAATCAGGATACTATTATATGCGAACATTTATGAATGACAAACGGTTTCATATATAACGTGACGATGCCAACTTGGACCAAACCTACAGATGATTTTCGAGTGTATTTACTAATTTAAATGAAACTAATCGTGAGTGGCGTTCACAGAGATTTGAGGTAGGCTAAGCTGAATATGTATGAAACATAAAATACAGATTTTTATAATTTCCTCCTCTAAAACATGGATACTAATGATATCTTTCGCAAGTATTGATTTAAATTTTAAATGAAACTAATATTTTTATTATTTTTAAAGGGCAGACGAGCTGATCACGGTTGCTGCAATGTAATCGAAACGTCGGGAGTATGTAGTTTTTAAACATAATAAAATACGCGAAGTAATCAGAATAAAATAATTTCATTTAAACATTGTAAATATTCGCGTATAATATTACAGCAGTCCGAACAGAACGAACATCTATATTCTTTATGAATCTCTCAACTATTTCTGAGCCACGAAAATACTTTAAAACGATTACGATCTGTTCATCACAGTTTTATAAATAATAAAAGTTAATTAAATAAGAAGTAGAAAAAGTAAAAAAGTAAATAAGAATTAGAAAAGAATCCAGTGAAGATTCAAACATTCTTATAATTATCATTTGAAACCAACAAACAAGGCAAAAAAAATAACTTATTTATGTACACAACCTGCTACTTAAAATCACATAATACTTTTTATTAAAACGAATAACATTACCTTTCTTTTAGTTCAATCTCAACTGGTCACACACCTTGACTTTACACTTATTTAAATTTTATTATCAAACGACAATATTGAAAATGTACTCATAATTATTTTCGATAAACACACATCACAAGCACAGAGCTCACAGCTATAATTTTCTATAATTCAATAATAAATTAATCCACTGTTTACAAATTAAAACTTATTCACTTGCGCTTAAAAAGACAAACGACAATATTAAATAATAATAAAAATGCGGAAAAAATATATTAACAGTTTACCGATCAGAGAGTCCCGTTTCATTTGACAATTAACTGACTTTCTACGATATTTTAAACTCGAACACTATGCACGTGTAGTTTTTCACACACAGGTAGGTACAAAACATTTCCTGCGTACATACACAAGATTTGTAGATCGTCTTTGTAGTACGAGATTTCACTGCAGGATTGGTGCGTTTATCGATTATTTGTTTAAAACCAAATTTTTATGTTTATTTATACTTATAAATATATATTTACTATATCCAGCCACATTCGATCTGGAATTTTAGTAAACAAACCATAGGTCATCATAATTAGGGTTGATACACTCTTAATAAATAATAATAATTACAACTACATCACGATTTCCTGTTCAAACACAAAAATTTTAATTTAATATAGAATCCAAAAACTTTATTTAGCCGGTCAATACATAATTTATATGAAAATTAGCTTAAAATAAAACTTTAAAAATCTTTAATTACCACTATAATATTACTACAAAACTAACAACCCTATATTTTAATACTGACGTAAAGAAATCGCAGGTTTGTAATATTTGGAGAGTTGTTTAAGCAATGGGCATATTTAGGAAGGTATATAATAGCGATACAGGCTCTTCGTAAAATATACACACAAAATTTAATCTAAATGAGTCCTGTCGTTTGGGAGGCGATAGATAAAGTTAATAAAGCGAATTATATAACTACGAGGTAATTTCTGATATCATTTTAAAATTGGGGGCATTTTTTTTGAGATCTACATTATTCCAGATGATCATAAGTATTATACATAATTATAAGCAAGAATGCGCTTAGTCCTTTGACTTAAATATTTTATTATTAATCATGAATTTTAATTTTTATTAACATCAAAAATAATTGTTGTACATATTTCTAAAAATGTTTTGAGCATCTGCTTGACGTTGGTTGCTAAGCAACGCTTTGTTATTAAACATTCCACATCGAATTTGGCTGGAGTATAGGGTGCCTATCATAATTTGGCCGCCATTATTTTTATTTTATTTTTGGAAAAAAAATCCATTTATTTGTTTTTTAAATAAAAAAAACCTATACATGACAGTAATTTATATGAAGATTCTAAATAAATCACGGTAGCCATTGCGCAGCCAGCCACACCTCTTCGCAGCCAGGTTGAAACAGGTACGATTTCGATAACTTTATACGTTCATAACGTATATTCATTAATTATATAACAAACTGAAGCTAATTATTTTTATTAATTACTAGAAGACATATCTATTACGTTTTTTTATTTCTATTTTTGGAGTTTACCTGTAAGCCAAAAATCTCTGTGTTTTGAAGTGCGACAAAATGATTGACATATTAGTTAGTTGTCAAATCTAATGTCAAAAAAAACGTTTGTATGGGAAATAGAAAAGGGCTGTTTTTATGGTTTTCCCAGTAATGAATCAATTTTTTTCAGCTTTTATACCTTCTCTGAACCTCCACGAGCATTTCAAGACTAAGATAAGATAAACCCGTTCAGCTGTTCTCGAGTTTTAGTGAGACTAAGGAACAGCAATCCTTTTTTATATATATAGAAGATCATATAGGGGTGCTTCATAAAATCTGGCCGCAAGTAAGGGTTGCTGGCTGTTGAAAAAGATAAATATTTAAGGTACAGTGAAAGAGAGTTAACGCGTAACATCATTTGTCAGACGAGGATAGCGAATACCAGCTGTGCGACACTTTAAAGTCATTGCGCATGCGTCGATGGGTAGTGTTCTCAACTGAACAGATCCGGCACTTTTATTCTAACACTGGCTTTCCGCCCGCAGCTTAGCCCGCGTGGAGTTTGGTTATATGGCTTTTCCAAGAGAACCTTTCAAAGGTCTGGGATAAAAACTATCTTATGTTCTTTCTTAAGGTCAACTCTATCTCTGTACCAAATTTCATTAAAATCAGGTCAGTGGTTTAGGCGTGAAAGCGTAACAGACAGACAGACAGACAGTTACTTTCGCATTTATAATATTAGTAGGGATGAATTAAAAAGTCATATACTGCTAGAAAGATCATTTACAACCTTTTCTTTTGGAAACTGAATAACTTAGTTTTATTTTAGTGCTAGTATTCATGAAATTTAATGAATCAAAACCCTTTATCAGGTGAAAACCAAAAAATAAGGCTTGAATTATTTCACGTTATATCGCCAAACTGAGATAAAAATAATTAAAAAAAAATAGTTGTAGGTTTTTTTTTAGAAAAACAATTATTCTCTCAGCATATCTACAACTTGATGTTATAGAGTGTAGGTCAAACCTCTTTCGATGGATAAATATCCAAATCTTGTAATTTTTAAATCATTCAGGAATAATAGGACAATAAAACTTTATTAAGAGAAAAACATTATATTTATAACACTTTATTATTTGGAAAGTACATAAATTAACTTATATTATATTTGGATTTTGTTCCACAAAATCTGCCACGACAATATCCAAGTCGGTAAAATGACGGTACACACAATGTTGAACAACCAGTTGCCGTAAATCTGAAAAAAAAGGATAATAATTATATATTTATTTGGAAACTGGAATGTAAAAAAATATTTCTATAAAAAAATCATCGATAATTTAATTTAGGAAACTTATTTTAATAACATCATAAGCCCATCAGAGCCCACTGCTAAGCAAAGGCCTCTTCTCACATGGAGAAGGTTAGAGTATTAATCACCACGCTTTTTCACGACGGGTTGGTGATTTAAAACTTATAATTTAAATTATAAGTCCAGGTTTTCTCACGATTTTTTCCTTCACCGTCTGTCAGTGATGTCTAAATACTCTTAGTACATATGCCTCAGAAAAATCGCATTGGTACTTGTCAGGGTTCGAACCCGTGACCTCATGCATAAGAGGCGGGACTTTAACCACTAAGCCACCACTTCTATAAATATCATAATCATATACAATATTCATATCGTATATTTTATCTCTGACGTAAAAAAATCTGATAAAAATCTCGTGCTAGTCTATATAACATAAAAGTACACTATATTCTTTTCAAATATTTATTTCAACAGTATACTTTAAGATTTAGATAGTTTTCTCATGATTGCCATTAATTAACTGGACTAAATTATAATTAAAAAATCATGAAAACCGTTTCACCCAATCGAGAGTAATGAGGTAACAAACTAACAAACTTAGTTAGACAAACAAATAAAAAATAATAATAACAATTATTTACCATTGAATCCACTATAGAAAACATAATGGCTTGCATAGCGGCGTCTTTACCACGACTCATCATCATGAAAATACCTTCTTCAGGGAACAGAACCCGTGAATATAGAATCATTAGGATCATAAGAATCAGTAATGGTTGCAGCAATAAACATATAACACGTTTAATGAATAGAAGAAACCTGCAACAAAACCTATAGTATATTTATTGGTTTTAATAAAACCTTAGACTATATCAACATTCCTAGAATTAAAAGGAAATATATGTAATTCATATGAAATAAATAATTAAAACGTGTACATGTTTCAAAATTAATAAAAAAACATTGTCCAGCGAAAAAAATTGCGAATCTAAACCATTCCCAGATCCCCTTGAACACACACAAAAAAATTCATTAAAATCGGTCCAGTCGTTTGAGAGAAGTTCAGTGACATACACACTCGCAGAAGAATTATACATATATATAAAGATTGAACATAAACTGACCTTCCTTGCTTATCTTCCACAACTCCTACGATTAAAGCCAGCGGTGTGTACAGAGCTGCCAAACAAACTCCCAACGGAAAGTTATGAACACCGATAGCAAGGCACGCAGTCGACAATTCAATTAACATTAATATATTGACTATGGTTAACTCATCGTATGTTAACTTGGACGTTGTTTTCAAACACTTTGGCGTCAATATTATGAATAAAGCTGACGATGATAGTAATCCATAGAATACTGATACTTCAGACGGCAGAGAGAAATGTATGGCACCTAAAAAAATATCAATTTAATAAGTAAAATATGCATGATTCTAAAAGAATTAAAGAAACAAAAATATTTTTTTCTGGTTCAAATATGCTACACAAAAATAAAGTATTCCTGTTTGTGGATATTGTGTTTGTATTTCATTGTATTGCATAAAATAAATGTGACAAAATTAAATTGCAATTATGTGATAATATAGAAAAAAAATAGCTTTAAAGTTTATGAACAGTTAGAAATAACAAATAATTTATTTTTTCTAAGTTAAACTAATACTGGCAACACAATAAAATATATGTAATCTTCTCTCATTCTAACTGACTTAGTTATTGAAGGTTCTTAAAGATTTCACCAATATCATGTCATATACAGGGTGACTGGTGAATTACTATCAATATTTAAGGAGAATACTCGGTACATGATTCTCATTCGAATTATGTAAAAAAAATAGGTACTTAATTTTTGACCAAATTTCCGTATAAATAAATAAAGTGTGGACACGTTCCAAGTGTTCCAAGTGTGGACGCGTGCGGCGGCTTGCTGATACAACACCACGCCGCGCGCGCGAGTGTGTGTGTGTGTGTGTATACCTAATCTGTAGGGTGTTCACACGATGCGTAATTAATTACACAACTTTTGGTTAACTTTACTTAGAAGTTTATTAATATTTATGTTATATTAATTTTAATTTTGTCATATATGATCGTCAAATATCACGTCCTCAACTATCGATAGTAATTCACCAGTCACCCTGTATATATTTAAATCTACTTACCAATATAAGTGAAGAGCGGTGGTAAATTCATGACTGTATATCCCATGAGATGCACTAGCAAATAGTTACCACCGATATTGGCTAAACTAAATCCATTTACTCCAATATTTTTAAGTTCCACTTTCTCTTTCACATTTTTTTCAGCTTGTTCTTTTACTTGTACTATATCTTTTGTTACTTCTTGAACTTCTTCTTTTAATAATTCTTTTGGTAATTCTTTACTATCTTTTTCACCTTCTGCTACTTTATTTTCATCTTTTACAGTTTCTTTATCAACATCTTTTTCATCATCCTTCTGTAATGTCACCCATAGTGATAGAGCTCGTATGAGCATCGCACCACATAGAAGACACAATGATGGCATGTATTGACCTGAATATTAAGAAATATTGAAATCTTTTATCAAAAACAATTATATATACAATATACTTGTATGTCCAAAATAAATCCTATGTTTTCAGTATAGACTGTTAATCTAGTTATAGGATAAAAAAAACATATACATACATAAAATATAAGTCTATTAATAAGAACTCACCAATAGATATAAACCTATTAGTAGCAGCAAGCATATAAAAGAAGTAACTCTGGTGAAATCGTTCCAATAGATTGTTGAGGGATCTAAGTATACTCTCCAATGTAATGCCAAGACGATGAAAGCTAGCTTGATGTAGGGAATGTATTCGAGGAGGTTGTCCAGGGTCTGAAGCATCACGACCTTCTAAAGTAAGAGCCTCTATATTGAAGCGATGGAACAAACCATGATTTCCATTCGGAACCTAGATAATATTGATAGTATGAACATATACCTATGCAAATTGTTATCAAAGTAAATATGTATATATGTATATTATTAAATGAAAATCAATTATGAAACTAGCAACACTCAAGCCACCTATATAAAGAGCGCCATTAATGACAATCTGATACTTTTTTTTCTAAACTACGAGTATTGTCAAGAGAAGAAGCTCTGCCTTAATTTCTTAAAAATCATAATGTGTTTTTTTTTTAACAATATATATTTAAAAATATTTTTATTTATCACATATTTATATTGATTATGTCACACCAGAACCATGTGTTTCACTCAATAATAAGTATAAATGTTTATAAATATTTATATTTATTTATTAACTTACCCCGGCTATCTGACTTCCAACCATTCCCAACATGGTCCATATATTGTTTATCCATTCATCCATTTTATTTCTTGTTCTGATCCAGGAATAACTAAAAACATAAACTCATCAATAAAAACAGTTTCTAGTGATTTCTATAATGAAAATATATTACAATACCTATTTTTATATGAATGATGCAAATTTGACTTAATACAAAGCTTGTGCACTAAATTCACCAAATCCAAATTTGGTAGTTGTCCATTAAGACCTTCCACCTTAACTTCAATATATTCTGAAATTATAAATATCATTATAGCAGTATTATTATATACTACTAGGTTTCCGCCCGCAGTTTCGCCCGCGTGGAGTTCGGTTATATCGCGTTTCTAAGAGAACCTTTCAAAAGTCTGGGATAAAAACTATCCTAGGTTCTTTCTCAAGGTTAGCTCTATGTCTGTTCTAAATTTCATTAAAATCAGTTCAGTGGTTTGGGCGTGAAAGCGTAACAGACAGACAGACAAAGTTACTTTCGCATTTATAATATTGGTAGGGATATAACTTGTAAATTATTATATCTTAGGAGATAATTATGGTAGTTATTTTATATGTACTTACTAAATTTCGGTGTATGAAATTCTAAATTGATAGCAGCCTGTATAGATCCCGATCTGCCTTTCAATGTGCCCGGATCTAAGCACTTAGTTTGATCAGTGATTTTCTCCAAAACCTTAAAATGCTTGAACAATTCACTACCAGGTTGCCAAAAACTGCTGAGACTTGTATAGAAAGTGTCCGACTCTCTTCGTAAACCGTGATAAGCTTCTAACCACGCCTGCATACCTAATTGCTCATGTTCCGTGATCAAGAAAATTATATCCTTGGCCCAGTACTTTTGAGCTGTAACAAATTGTAATTATTTTTCATATATCCTATAAAAAACTATGCTATAAGATTGTCATGCACTATCATCATTATCATCATCAGCCTATCAGACGCCCACTGCTGAGGAAAGGCCTCTTTCTCACATGGAGAAGGTTTGAGCATTAATCACCACGCTTGCTCAAGACGGGTTGGTGATTTCAAACTTATAATTGTGAAACTATAAGTCCAGGTTTCCTCACGATGTATTCCTTCACCGTATGTCAGTGATGTCTAAATATTCTCAGAAAGTACATATGACTCTGAAAAAAATGACATTGGTACTTGCCAGGTTTGAACCCGCACCCTCGGCAACGAGAGGCAGGCCCCTAATCACTAGGCCACCACTGACTTCACTGTATACTTATAAACAAAAAGTTATCAACAACATTACTTTCATATAGTATCAAAATTTCAAATTTAGTATACTATTTTTGATATAAAGATAATAATAACTACATACATAATTTTTTTTTTACTAATTATTTAAAATTGTATGATCTGTGGCCTTAATACTAGCTAAATGCTGTTATGGACATAATATATAATTTTTATTGTAACCCTACATCTAAAGAAAATATTTCCATTCAGTCAAAGTATTCATAAAAAAAATTCATTCAAAAATTTAATATCAATTCTCTCATATAAATAAATTTTATTTACCCCATCTCATTACAAGTTTTTTGTGGAAAATACTTATTTATTCTATACTATCTATTCTAATACTAATAAAAGTTGATTAACATATTCCTATGTGTTGTGTTAAGTAGCAAGAATATAACCTACATTATACTCGACATCATATTATTTAACAATACCAAGCAAGTATAACTAATACACAAAATGTATATACTTACGTCTAGCAAACTGTGCAAATGCCAGCATCAATCCTATACCAGCAGCAGTTCCTTTTTGATGACTGGATAAAGAACGGAAAGGTGCGGTCACCACTAATGCTTCTAATGAGGAAGTACGAGGCGCTCTTAGAATCCCATACACATTTGTTCCTTTGTAAACCTGTATCAAATACCAAATAAACACTTACTAAGTACAATCCAAGTGTTATTATGATGCCATATAGGAATAATATAATTTAGTGGCATTAAATGTGTTGGATGTAGAAGTAACAACATTGCTTCAATCTAAGATACATGCACACACTTATATAGAATTTTATGTTTAATATCCTTGTTAATTATATCATTATCATCAGCCTATCAGAGCCCACTGCTGAGTAAAGGCCTCTTCTCACATGGAAGGTTTGAGCATTAAAAACCACACTTGCCCAAGACGAGTTGGTGATTTCAAACTTATAATTTGATGTTATAAAGTCCAGGTTTCCTCACTATATTTTTCTTCACCACCTGTCTATGGTGTCTAAATTTTCTTAGAAAGTACATATAACGAATAAATCACATTGGTAATTGCCAGGTTTTGAACCCGCACCCTCATACATGAGATGCAGGTCTTTCACCACTATGCCACCGCGACTTACTTGCTTCCTTGTTAATAGTATAAAATATTAATTAAATACCTGTCCATGTCCCAGAGGATAGTTCAGTGTAAAATTGTGAGTGTAGACTTCAAGATCTAACTGAGACATCTTGCCAACCAGCCAGGGTACAGGCATCTCATCGCTATCTTCATATTTATCCTGTATAATTATAATCAAAAATTTGTTTCTTCAAAAATATAAGAGGATATGGGTATAAATTGATGTTTCATTATGAATATTCCAAATATCTACTAATTTACTGTTTTTATTGTTAAAAATAGTCTAATATAATTGTTATTCTTTATACAATAATAAAAAGTTTAATATCATAAGGTATGTAAGTGTTATACATAGAGCAAACAATAATAAAAAAAACTATAATTCACATGTTATTCCATGCTATAGATACTCTTTCAGAATTATTTTGATTCTTTTATAAATATTAGCAATAGGTTTTAATTAAGGATAACTAACCTCTAATTCTTGAAGGAATTCCTTATAAAACTTATTTGCTGAGTACTCGGCGTCAAATTCATTAGTAACTAAACCAGGTAATAAAGCATTCTCTGAGAAATAAGTTTCATTATTGAATTCTCTGTGTGCTAACATGAAAAACCATCCAATAGCACAAATGTAACAAATAAAACACAGAGGCGAATGTACTTTCTTCAGTACCCTAACCCATTTTACCGACCCATATTCTGGATCCGATAGAAGACCCATGTTAGAAAAAAATATTAATTTACTAATATAGAATGATCACATATCATTAATACTAATTTAAGAAACCTCTAAGCCGCACAAGTCACAACGAGCGCTCCTGTTTATCAATATAAGCTACTAATGTCAATAATCGTCTGACAAGTGACAAGTGACAAGTGACATACCTACCTGTCAATAAAGTACATATAACAAAACTTTTCAATGAAATTAACAGTAACATTTCCGTTCTTCTACTCCTTACGTTTTAGAAAACAGACAAACGATTATTAAAGATATTATATATATGTACTCTACTATAATTTAATTTTAGTGTTTTGTTATCTAGCAAGCTGTGGTTGGTATCCATATCTATATACTCGTATATCATCTACTTTAGGTAGAGACTTGTAAATATTCCTTAATTTTTCATTGTTTCAGAATTATTTGTTGCTTTTATTCCTTTTATGTTATCTTTCTAAAATTTGGGTTGTAAACTATTACGATTATAAACAATTACATTAAGATTTTTTAAAAACAATTAAAATATAGGTAAGTAGGTACTCGTTGAATAGATTGGAATTTAAAAATATTTCAATCTTTTTAGACATCAACGAAATTTTTGAAAGTGTTCTTTAAAAGCAATGCAATAAATAAGAAGGTACCTTCAATAATAAAAGGAAAAATACGCTTGCTAGAATTCAAATATATTTTGTTAACTCTAAATTTGTCTTGTAAATTCATGTGAAGTAGGTACTTATATAGGTATGCATACGTTCAGGTATACTACCAATATACGAATAAAAAGACACAACAACATTATTAAGTACGTATTATTATAAAAACAAAACACAATCCATGAACACATCTTAAAATCTCATTTATGCCTATTTTTGGCATTCATTCCATTTTCTAAAAGAGTATTTATTTGTTCTTCGGTTTTTGCTCTCGTTTCCGGGATGAAAAGTAAGGTGAAAATGGAACCCAAGAAATTAATAACAGCATATAATATGAATGGCGCGTAAGGCGCTATGTAATTATTCATTGGTGTATATGATATTACTAAGACAGCAGTAAAAGACCAGGCGACAGTGACAATCATGCCCATTGCTTTCGCTCGAATCTAAAAGAAATTTTAGAATATAAGACCATTATTAAAATAAAGTTGTCATTAAGAAAAATGAGGTGGAATACGACTAAAAACGTTTCGCTTCTTTACTTACTTGAAAACTAAACATCTCTGTCATTATAATATATGGTAAAGGAGATACGCCAGCACCATACATTGAGACTGCCATAACAATGGCTAAAACTGGCAACCATGATGGTACATTCCAACCTCGTTCTTGTAATATCATCATTATTACTATAAGGGCCATACAAATGGCTGTTATTAGAAATGAACCTATCAACAAAGGCTAAAAACAACACAAATTAAATAATTAAAACATAGCAAAAGACAATTACAGTCAACTAAACCAAATATATATTGAAAATATAATATGTTGCCTTTGAACAATGTTTACCTTTCTTCCGACCTTCTCGACGATGGCTGCGAGTAACAACGAACCCACAATCATAAATATGGGAAAACTAAAAGTCTGTACTTCTGGACTGATTTCGAATTTAACTCCAGTGGAAATTAGAATAGTCGAAGCATAAGTTACAATGACATAGGTTCCATTCAAAGCGTGAAACACGAATGTTGCAGTAATAAGAAACAGCGCGCGACGCCAGGTCCTGTTCTTGACTGAAAAATCGTAATAAATTTGAGATTTTAAACAGTTATTGCTGAAAAAGTGATGCTCTTTTCTTTCTGCACAAATTTAGATAGATATATTAAAATAAAGTACAAAATTAATTTGAAATAGAACATTTTTCTGTTTTATTTTCATCCGAAATATTGTTTTACGATAACACATATATTTATTACAATAGCCTGAATACAGTATTAATTTTTCAAGAGCGTATGTTGAAGATAAAAGTAAGTAAAAAGAAATATTATTGTTACTATGCTTACAGATACTGGCAAAAGTAATATTTGGCAATGATTTGAATAAGGCTTCTTCATCTTTCATGCAATCCAGTACATTTTGGACAGTTTTGTCGTTTTTATCAAGACCCCTAAGATATGCGACGGTTTCTGCTGCTTCCTGTAAAAGTCACATTGTCAAAATATTCTATATGTTAAAAACGTTTTTGTATGTTTGAAATACTGAAATTATTTTTGACTTAACTCATCTTGTTATACTTTAATAATCCTTTTAACTAATTATGAGAAATAAAAATATAGGCCTTCGTTATATAAAATTAGTAAGAAATATGAAAATACTTTTTTACTTACCTCGTATTTTTCTAGCTTCACAAGAAAAGCTGGTGATTCGGGAGCTTTAAACACCAATATTGTAGCAGCAATAGATATAGATAAGGTAATCACTGTAACTGTGAAATAACTCAAATATGTACCAATTACGTACATGAAGAGTAAACCTGTTGTTTGTAGTAATATAACCAATGTTCCTAGGACTCCTCTTATATCATCTTGGCTTATTTCTTTGACGTACATTGGAACTATAATAAAACATCCACCAGCTGATAGACCTGATAAAACTCTTGATAGAATCAAAGTAATGGTGGTCGGATAGCTCAGTCTTATGATCCATGAAATCTGAAATAAAACACTGGTATAATGAATTTATTAAGATATTTTTTTATTAAGACCTTCATTTAATGTAAATAATAGAACCGGGTATGTGAGTTTGTACATAAATAGTATAATTTGAAATATGAAAGTGGGATAAACCGTCACTTATACATTTTTACAGCGTTAGCTGTCATACATATATATAAGGAAGAAACCTATATTTTTCTTTATAACACTGGGAATTATTGTGACCCTAAGTAATTTTGTACTAAGTTACTTACTGCTTGTGGAACAGCAATACATATAACGCTTATCTTTCTTCCAAAATAATCAGAAATAAACGTATAAATGGATACTCCAAAAATTGCTGCTATACTTAAAGAACTGGCTATCCAAGATAAATCATTGTCAGTAATTGCTTGTCCCGTAGGAGATTCATTTGATTGTAATATTTTAGTCATTGAAGATATCCATCCACAGTCCATTCCATACGTAAAGAGTGTAAAATTTGCTGCAAATAAATATCAAACAAAGACATTTTATAAAAGAATATGGAGTTAAGAGATAATGCTCCTCACCATTAAAATAAGTTTGGAATGATAAAAAAGCCTAATTATTCTATGGTTGAAAGATACAGATAATTTAAAAAATAATCTTTCAGGAGCGAGCTATAGTTAGAAATTTATTTAAATACTAATAAAAACATTACCTAATAAGGCAAAAATCCATTGCCGGTAAGTGTTACCTACGTCTGTTTCCTTAAGTAGACCCACCATTATTTTTTAAAATGAACACTTTCTTTTCGTGAAGCTAAATATAAAAAAAAAATTAAATCTGCAACGTAACTATCATTGTCAGCAACTCTATTTATTAATGAAGTTGGGTCGTCTGAAATCTTTGGTAAATAAGTTTATCTGTACACATAGTAATTTCCATTGTGTAAACATTTATTATTTGTTTATATATCAACTGATGTAATAAGTCGCCTGATTTTAATAAAGATTGACGATGAGGAAAAAGTGTAGAAACAGAATATCGATTGAAACCCAAATAATGTTGAAAATGTCAAAATACCCTCAAATAATATATTTATTATAATTGTTACAAAAACCATAGATCATGATATTGTTCCTGAGTCTTATTTTTTTTCATATAACTTACCAAAATCTATAAATTCAGTAGTTTTTTGATAAAATTTTAATAGATTTTTTTTAACATCTTTATATATTTTTCGAAAGAATAAAATAAAATATGCATTTCTCATTATTTTAACCATAAATAAATATGAGTAAATTAATATGAGTCTTAAGATACACTTGTACGATTTATGATATTTAAATATATTATAAGTAGTAATTAAATATTTATTTAATGTTTATAAATATTCGTTTTATCTTGTATGCTTAGCGTTATTTATATTTAGCGTTATTGAATGAAGTCAGAAAACAAAGATTAAGACTCTCTCATTATTTTCGTGAAGTGTCCTAGCTATTTGGCTATCAAACGATTTATTTTCAATATGTTTGATTTCTTTAAGCGATTTGCTTTGATAAAATTAAGTGATTAAAATTTTATCCCCTTTCTGGTAAAAGTTCGATCGGACTTTTGTTATATGTACATCTTTACTCTTTAGTTTTAAATATATTCAATATATTTTTAGAATCAATGAAAAATCCAAGCTGCTTAACTTTCCAGAACGGCAGAAAATATTTTGTTTCATAACCCCAAGAAATATGGGAATCAAATGAAAATAGGATGTAGTTCTTTTTGAACAAAACATTAAAATTAATATAAGTGGAACATAATATCTTTATACAGTGAATTTCCTACATTGTTATAAATATTTTACATGTACGTGTAGGTTATGGCACGACGATCCACTTTTATTTTTTTTTTTGCCTGATCGATACTTTAGATTGATTGATACCTTAGATTGATAGGAGAGTGGAGTAATAACTCTTAAACTGATACCCAAAACTTATAACATTATTTTGTGGCTTTTAGTGTATTATCTATATTTCTTTTCAATAAATATATTTAAATTTTTGAAAAATGTAACCTCTGCAAGAAAAGTCTTTGGACTGATTCTATTAGCTTAAGATAATTTTTATGAAAATATAGATTATTAAAATTTCTAGGAAAGATGTAATATTTTGTCGAATTGCATCATAACACACATTAAAATCTTTTGAACTTTTTTAAATAAGGAAAATTCTACTGTTGTAACATCGTGATCAATAATTAGAACAAATAGTCATAGTTTCAATGTCTTACAAATAATTTGGTCGGAAAAAACGTAATTCAAATTGAAAAAAAAATGTTATATATAATATACAAGTGTCTACGTTCAAATGAGATACTTTTAATGAAAAAGGTGGAAATATGTTAATAAATTAAGATTTCAAGCCTGTAGATACTTAGTACACATTACAAATTATTTAGAACTATTAAATATTCGCCTTCGATCAAAAAAAGATAGAATTAATTAATAGGGTGGACATATTTTAAGATGTAAGTCGTGGTGGCCTAGAGGTTAAAGTCTCCCTTCTCGTGCATGAGGGTGCGGATTCGAAACTTGGTAAGTAAAATGAGATTTTTCCGAGTCATTTGTACTTTTAATAGTATTAAGACGCTACTGACAGATGGTCAAGGTAAACCTAGTAAGGAAACCTGGACTTATAATTTAAAATTATAAGTTTGAAATCGCCCACCCGTCTTGAGCAAGCGTTGTGATTAATGCTCTGACCTTCTCCGTGTGAGAAAAGGACTTTGCTCAGCAGTGGGATCTGATAGGTTGAAGATGATGATGTTAAGATATTAATATTTTAAAGCTTAAACCTACAAAGTAGCAACTGAAGTGGCTTAAGATCAGAACCTGTAAGCTGGGATACCCAGGAGTGCAAAATCTGTTGTCTTCTGAACGTGTCCAAAATAAAAAATTACTTCAGTATTTCAGCTATGAAACCTATACAGGGAAGCATTGGTTGGAGTGTATACATTACAAATAATACTAGCCCACCTAAAATACAGTTTTGTATAACCAAGTTATCAAGGCATTAAACAGCATCATGTTATAGAGCTCCACAAAGTAAAAAAAAAAACTTTAGTTAAATTAAAACTAACCAAAATAGATATTCTAGAACTTTTGTGACTTCTTACAATTTAGTTACTCACTAAGACACATCAAAACTTATACTCAGGATGAACTATGAATGTCTTCTTCTACCTGGCAATCTCCCAGCTTTAGCCAGGGTCTGCCTAACATGTTGTAAATAGTTTTGGCTAATGGTTTTACGACCGGCCGCCTGCCTGACATCAACCCTCTTTGGGAATGCTGTTGTTGAAACTTATGATTCAAAAATGATAAGTCCAGTTTTCTTCACGACGTTTTTCTGTCAGTGGTATCTAAATAGTCTTAGAAAGTACATATGACTGAGAAAAATCACATTGTTACTTGCCAGGATTGAACCGAAAATATGTATGTAACATAGGTTATATAATATTCCGCTATTTTTTAGTGTTTTCAGAAAATTATATTAACAAAGGTTACTTTTTAAACATGTTAATATTTTATTTAGGACAATACTCGCATTTCATTAAATCGCTTTAATATGGAAATTATATATTCTTTTCATTAATTTCAAATAATTGAATGTGCTGTATGTACAGAAACTAAATTTGTTTTATTATACTCCTTAAAATTTACTAAAAATTCCAAAAATCATTGATATTGGGAAGATGTCTTATGCTCCGTACTTAATTCGAAAGATTTTGAGAGTTCGCAAAAAGATATCCAAAGCGATGGACATTTACGTTATCTGAAGTGGTATTAAAAATTTATCTGGGAAGGTCTCGTTTTAATCGCACTTATAAAAATGTATATCCAAGGGCCAAGAAAAAAATATTTACGTAAGGAATAAGGACTAGGCACCTACTGAAAAATCATGAAATGTGTTATTGTGATTTTATATTATAATCAGTAAATTCAGAAATAATAAAAGTGTATTATCTTATCTTATCTCATTTTAAATTTAATACTGTCTCCACTGATTGCATATGAATAAAATGCAGTATTTGCAACAAACCTAGAATTTTGAAACATCATTTTATTGAAATATTATGCGCATTTCGATGAATCAAGTGACTTGGAAAACTTATGTCTACAGGAAATTACTTCTGTGACGCTGCTGAGTTCGGTACGAGTTCGTACAAACTTTTGTAAATACTACAGCAGCTGTCTTATATAATGAAATTTGTTTATTTATGCAATAATTATTTACAGTACAGTAAAAAAATTATGGATGTAGATTCTTTATTATTATTTTATATCCTATGATTATTTTCTCGAGTACACCGACGTCTTTATACTATTAATAAATTAAAGACTACGTTTTAATTATTCATCTAAATAGATCATTGGAAGACGAGCTGAAAGTGTATTGTTTTGTTTGGAATATTTGATTTGTAAGAATTATACATTTCATATTCTTCACAAAACTCGGGAAATAAACTAAATGCCAATCAGTTGTATCTTGTTTTTTCTCGTATGTGTATCTTGATCTCTACAGTTCTAGTTATTTTGGGTGTAAAGAGTTAATTTAATCTTTTTCTAAAATATTTGAAGATAAATAATGAGACAGATTGAGGACTAAATTAAGACTTAGGGCTATTGGAGTTTCTGCAACAGTATCCCAATACTGAAAGGTTGAATGTAAACCTCAGTTGTTGCCACAGTTCATTCTTATTAATAAATTGGAATATTTTAAGCATAAAAAGAATTTAAGAAAACGGCAAGTGCTGGTCAATCAGACACGACCTGCTACTAATATAATACTAAATCCCAAACTAACTGCACTAAGGGATAGGTACATATAAGGTAATTGTTCCTTTTCGGGCACATTTAATTGTATAATAAAATAAAATTATTACTCTGAACTCTTCAATTGCAAATATAAATTAACAGATCCTGAAGCTATTAGGTATAGGTTAAGTAAGAAATATTTTGCTTACGATAATTTGTAATTTATTTTGAGTTTATCATTGGTGGTACATAAATCAAAACAATACTATCAGACAGACACTTTCATCTCGTTCGTCCGTGATAACAAGTGTTTTATCTTATTTAGTTTTATTAAAAACCAATCTTTATATCATGGTGTCACTTTGAGGGAATTTCTATGTTCTTCAAATTTACTGTAAAGATGTTAAAATAGAATTATACAAACACATCATACGTTATTGACATAAAACTTTTATTGCCGGCTTAAAGGGATTTAAGGCGATTTTGGGCTAATTAATGTTTTGAAGCTTTTCACGGCTGTACAAATACGTCGATGGTACAATGATTAGAAATAAGGATTTATTTTTATTTAATTAAGCTCCAAAAAAACTCTGATGCGGATTAAACATTTCTGATACATTGAAGGTTGTTTAAAATAAATAAAGTAATATGATTCCAGTACAATATTAAGACCAGCACACGGTT